GTGTGTGTGTGTGTGTGTGTGTGTGTGTGTGTGTGTGTGTGTGTGTGATGTTCATACTTGGACATTAACAGGGGAAACTAAGATTCTCATCATGCTTGGCACAGGTGTGGAAAACAACTGGATAAGTGACTGACACTGGAACTGAGTTTGAGGGTGGGGTGTTCTCATCGTCATTTTCATTGGGGGAGGGTGCCATGGGCCACCTGTGAAGGTCAGGGGACTACTTGCAGAGACTGGTTCTCTCCTTCGACCTGTGGGTTCTGGAGATTAAACTCAGGTCATCAGTAGGGCTGTTGAGATTCCTCAGCAGTTAAGTCTGCTCAATTTCCAGCAACAATGAGGCTGTCTATATCTGTCTACAACTCCAGTTCTAAGGGATCCAATACTCTCTTCCGACCTCCATGGGAACGAGGTACACAGATGGTAAACAGACATACGTGGAAGGAACAGACATACGTGGAAGGCAACACACACACATACATTAAAAAAAAAAAAACCCTCAGGTATTAGCTCTTCTTTGAAGGTATGGTAGAATTACTCACTAAAGCCATCTGGCCCTGGGCTTTTTTGGTTGGGAGGTTTTTAATGACTTCTTGTATTTCCTTAGGGCATATGGGCCTGTTTAGATAGTTTGCCTGCTCTTGATTTAACTTTGGTACATGTTATCTGTCTAGAAAATCATCCATTTCATCTAGATTTTCTAGTTTTGTTGAATATAGGCTTTTGTAGTAGGATCTGATGATTCTGTAAATTTCTTCAGTATCTGTTTTGTCTCCCTTTTTATTTCTGATTTTGTTAATTTGGATACTGTTACTGTCTGTGCCCTTTAGTTAGTTTGACTAAGGGTTTATCCATCTTGTTGATTTTCTCAAAGAACCAGATTTTGGTTTTGTTGATTCTTTGTGTGTTCTCTTTGTTTCTATTTGGTTGATTTCTGTGGAGTTTGACTACACATAAAACAGCCGGTGTAGGGCAGATTGAGCCATGGTAGAGCAGAGAGAGAGGAAACCAGAGATAAGACAGGTTAGTCACTTAAGACTCACGGTCTCCTGTGAAGACTGATTCTAATATTGAGCAACAAGCATAGAAGACAGTAGAGTTTCAAAATGATCTGTCTTCCTGTTTCCAAGGGCTTACTTTGGTTTCTGTGTGGTGAATACAGTATATGGAGCCATAGTTGGAAAAAAGAGACGGTTGGGTGAGGAGAGGGTACTGAAATAATAAGCCAGATGAGGAGAGTGTTGACCTGAAGCAGCAGTGGAGGAGGGCAGAGATTTGCTCTATACATTTGGGAAACAAAGATGGCGTATTAGTATAGATAAATAACTAAACAATAATGATGTGATTATTAAACCAAAATGCCAAAGAAGGAAGCCCTGCACACGGTCCAGCCAACTGTGATGTGAGGGCGTGTGCAATGTGGAGAAGCACCTGGGGTACCTTGAACATGCTTCTTAGATGCTCACACGAAGCTCTGGATACTTTATAGCTCATCCAGACATGAGGAAGGGATCTGCTGTCTGCTGGACCAGGATGCCTAAAGGCCCATGTTTGAGCAAGCACTTGTATGTGACCTAGAAATTGTATCATTTTGTTTGGAGGTACCAACCTTGGGAACAGGAAGTCTTTGGACAAAGAAGAATAGACAAGGAAGGAAAAGGAAGGTGGACTCAGGATGGGAGCTAGGTATTGCTCAGCTAGCCTCTGAATACCCAGGGCCCATTCAGAGTCATGGCCCCAGCCCGTCCTTCAGAGACTGTCTCCCTTCACAGGGCAGTACATGCCTTCCAA